ATACTCCGAGAACCCACCCGATTTCGCTCTATTGGCTTCTCTCTACCCCTCTTTTGAACCCTTTGTTTTCTACTCTCGCGACGGTCGACCCAGAATTAATTGGACCGACTTCAACGCCACTCGAGAACTCACCCGGATCCTTCTCCTTCATGATCATGGCCTGAACTGGTATTTTAGGATTTCTATATTATTTATTTTTTCTTTCATATATTTTATGGTTGGGTTTTGATTTTTGGCTCAGTTTGTGGATTCTTTGATTGTGATTGATATAGTTTCTTAGATGATTTTATCTGTTAATGGAATTTATTGTTAATGTTAAATGATTTGAGGCAATTGACAAAGTTTGTTACTTGTCTGTGATTTTTATGGGCAATTCTGCTTTTTTTTTTTTTTTTTTTATTTCGTTGCATTTCGTGTTCAATTTCGTTGCATTTCGTGTTCAAGGCTTATAAAGAAATTGAACTGCCCTAATGAAGTTAAGTATTCTTTCCCTGAAAATTCATTGTTGGACCTATTGTATGTCATGGTAGTAAACAACTGATACCTTGATGATTAATTGACTATCTAGGCCTATGGTTTGTTTGTACTAGGTATGAAGTTCTGTTCCTTGGGGCCAACTACCTGGTGAAAACTCACAAATTTTTTGGTTCCAGAAATTGTTGATTTGAGAGTCTTGGTTTTGAACCCGTGTTAGTTAAGCAGGGAGATTTTGGGTTTAACAAAAAAAGAGAAAAGAAGATAGTATATTGCCATTTGTGTAGATCAATGCTTTTCAAAGTAGACCATAGCTTGAAATGGTCTACTTTTTCCTGGACTTTGGACTTCGTAATCTTTGGTTTAAGGTTTTATGTCTCCTAGTTTGGAGCCATCATGGATCATTGCTATGTTGAATGCTTAATTTTTTCTTTGAGTTAGTTTGATATATGGTTTGATGTACTGGGGTTTGTTTGTAACAAGTTTAATTTGAATCAATCTTCTAGGTGGATTCCTGATGGGCAGCTGTGTCCTACTGTACCCAACAGATCCAACTACATTCATTGGATTGAAGACCTTCTCTCTTCTGACATCATCCCAAAAAGTGACACCAGGGGTAATAATGTGAGAGGTTTTGATATAGGAACTGGAGCAAACTGCATTTACCCACTTCTTGGTGCCTCTCTCCTGCAGTGGAGATTTGTTGGGTCAGGTAGCATTTTAGAATTGTATTCTCCATCTCATTGGAAAACTCACAATTCATTTCTGTCTTGCAATAGTCAATTGAATTTTGATGCAGTTGAATTGCATGCAGATGTGACTGATGTAGCTTTAGAGTGGGCAGAGAAAAACATCAAAAGTAATCCACAAATTTTGGAACTAATTGAAATTAGAAAGGTTGAAAGTTGTCAAAACACTAGTTCTAGCAAGGAACCACATAAACATGAGCCAGCACTTGTTGGAAGCAAATTGGATTTGAGTGGTCATCTTGATGAGGAGGCAGAGCCTTTGCCATCACCATCATTTGATCAGCCCACTGCTGCAAACAAGAGTTATCATGGACCACCTGTACTTGCTGGTGTGGTTAGGGATGGTGAGAAATTCGACTTCTGCATGTGCAATCCTCCATTTTTTGAGACCATGGAGGAAGCAGGACTGAACCCAAAAACTTCTTGTGGTGGAACTCCTGAAGAGATGGTTTGTCCTGGTGGAGAAAGGGCTTTTATCACTCGTATTATTGAAGATAGTGTTGAACTGAAGCAGACTTTTCGGTATGCTTCCTGTATATTCATCCTACTTTGATCCATCTCCTACACTCAATGTTTTCTTCTATGAATTTTTTTCTTAATTTTTTATGTTTCATACTTTCTGTCTAGGTGGTATACTTCAATGGTTGGGCGGAAATTGAACCTTAAGTTTTTAATATCAAAGCTTCGGGAAGCTGGAGTTACCATAGTAAAGACAACCGAATTTGTCCAAGGCCAAACATATCGATGGGGCCTTGCTTGGTCTTTTGTGCCTCCTGCCAGGAAGATAGTATCAACTCATGTGGCTGAAAAGAAAAACCTGTCTTTCATGCTTGAGGTTTTATTATTTTTTTTTTTTTTCCTTTATTTCAGCAATGTTTATTCTTTTAACTTCAACAAACTTATCCTTTTGTGATTTTATTAAGTGTAAAACTATTTGTTTGCAACATGAGGAATCACATGTACCTGACAGACTCAATGTTTGCTTGATTGGCATTAATTGGACAAGCTGTATACTTGTTCTGGCCCCATGTTCAAATTAAACCTATAACATTAACGGAATACCCTAAAAAGAAGCTCAATTGCTGATGGGAGTCAAATTGAAAAGTTAAATTAATCCTTATCTTGCACATGAAAGTTAAACGTTGGAAGATAACAGTTCAATTTCATATGTGGTAGTAATGAACTTGCCTGATTGGGTTTATCTTCTCCTTTGTAGGTTGTGACTTCATATAGCTAGATATTAAGAAACTTATGGCCAGAATATGAAGAAAGAGTTGAAAAGAAAACGCCCTACTAGTTATTCCTATTATAATCAGTTAGGGCTAATAAATCCTCATTTGAGCTAAATATTTACATCCAGACTTGGATCCTATGTACTTTATATCCACATGCATTCCTATGGTAATGCCAAATTAATTTTTAAGGCATTGCATTGATTTAAACCTACATAGTACAATTCTTTATTATTCCTATTAAGGTAACATCTCATGGTTAAATATTTCTCTGTGTAGGGTGTCCAACGCCAATTCAGCACCATAGATGTGTTACATTCAATAGAGTCCTTTTTCTGCACTTCTGGCGCATCCTGTAAATTGAATGCCTCCTCATTTACCATCGATGTAAGAATAACCACTTTTTGATTAATTTTGGTGTCAGATTTATAGTCTATATAATTTTATGTGTGCTTATGTGCAGTTTAATCTCATTTTTATAGATCACTGCCTTAAAGGATCACTGTAATGCAATCTTGAAGAATGAGGTAAATCATGTTGATGAAACTGCCAGTGGCCAAAATTTGCAAGAGACATCAAATAGTTCAAGTTGTTTGGACACTCCAAATTCCTTATGTTTTCGTGTTTCGGTATGGTGTGCTTGCTTATCCTTGAATAAACATGATTCTTATTGTTAATCTTTGCGTAATTGATCTTTTCTTTAAAGGTCTTGCAGCAAATCCCTGGAACACTTCTGGTGAAAGGATCATTACACAGAGATAGTCTACGTCCAGGTATTTCACTCTCATTCCTTTTTTGAATTCTTAAATGCTAGTCTTACTTTAATGTAGACAGATAATCATATTAAACTTCTTTTTTGCATTTGTAGCTTACACTTTTATTAACATCAAAACTTATTCTATAAATATGAGTTTAAATATCTGTGTCTTTTCTGCCACTCTGTTCTTTAGGGGCCATTACCTTTTGCATATTAAAGTTTCTTAGGTCATGTTTGCTTGGGGTAAATGGACTAGGGAAAGGGAATCTCAATCCCAATCCCTTGTTTGGTTTATAGAAGTGGCATAATGAATGAAAATCTCATTCCTTCCAAAATTGGGAGGAATGACATCCATTATTAATAATGGAATTTTAATATGTCTAGTTTACCCCTTTTAAAATTCTAATTTCCCAGTTACCTCTAAAGAAATTAATTTAAAAATTAATTATAATAACTATTAAATTATAAAAAAATTCAAAAAAATTCAAAAAAATTTATGCTACTCTTCAGTGGTCAGGATTTGCCTATATTTGTAGATCATAAGCGTTTGATCCCTTTCGCACCAACGGTGACGCCAGCAACGTGATTGAAAGTTTCTGGCCAACGCATTTGACAGGTTTGAAATTTTTTAGGTTTTTGAACATTTTAAAAATATTTTAGCATTTTAGAATTTTTTAGAATTTAATTAGTTTATAGTTATAAATTTTAATAAAAAATAATAATTAAATTATAAATTAATTATATTTTAAATTAACTTTTTAGGGGTAAGAGAAATTATAATGTAAAAAGGGGTAAATTGGACATTTTAACAACATTCCTCCCAATTTTGGAAGGAATGATACTATAACCTATTTTTAAGGAATGAGGTTCCTATTCCTTATATCACTAATATGAACCAAACAAGGGATGGGGAATAAGATTCCCATTCTCTAGTCCATTCATCCAGCAAACATGACCTAATATCTTTCTTTATCCTGGTTTTGAGCTACTTCCTTTGCAGGATTATTCTCCTCGATATTCCAACAACTGGAGGAAGAGTTGAGATATAAATTTTGTAGAGAAAAGGGTAGCGTCAAGTAATATCTAATCTGATTTTGGCGATGCAGCATTAAGATTTGATAAGTTTGCTGCTCATATAATGCACAGCATCGAGAAATTCTGGGCAGGTTTTCTCCAGATTCGGTAAGATTTGGACTTTGAGTTCTATGAATTAGAGACAATAAAGGAAATACTAAATCGTTTACAATCATCTTGTTTGAAGGGACTACATTATACACTCTGCTTTAGTGGCAAGTATAGGAAATTTTGAGTTGCAAATATTGTATTTTATATCATTTGACAATACCCTTATGATTGAATAGATTATATGCCAATTATATTGATATTGTCACATCTCAAGCTTATTTGGTAGCCATTTCCGATTCATAAGATTGAAGTTATTGTGGTGTTTTTATAGCTTCAGAGTTCAGAGTACCAAGATAACTGAAAATTTGTGGCTTTCATTAGCTTAAATACAATACATCTTTTTGCAGTTTCCAAATGAAAACTTTAATGTGAGGATGACTAAAATCCAATAAAATTGACTAGTTCACTTAAGATTAGTCCAATTTGATTGGTTTCAGTTCAGTGAATTGGATTAGAACTAATATTTTCATATCTGAGATAATTAGATTGGTTATAGATTTTTCGGGTTGTGATTATAAGTTTTTTTGGATACAAGCTCCAGATCACTCTTTTTGTCTGAGGTCTTCTGGGTATAAAAAGATGCAGTTTGCAGAATAAAACTTCTTCAAACACCAGCAGTTGAGGAATTTCTATTAATCCAAGTTGAAAGGGAAAAAATTGGAAAAAGAATCGGGAAATATCAAAACTAAAAGTTTCTGCAACGAGCAATAATCACTCACAACCCTTTGTACATCATCCATCAAAAACATATTAACACACAAACAAACAAGTGAATATATGGTAGAAAAATTTGTGATAACCAGCAGAATAAATAATCCAGAAACATAGATTTATTAAGCCTTCCCTTCAATCCTGGCATATGTGAGTCCAACACATGCATCAACAAAATCCTCATCAATGAAATCTGTAGAGAAGATCTGCAACCGATCCACGCATCCCTTGGAGAAGCATTGAGTTATAAACAGCCTGGCATATCCATGAATCCTCCTTGTTACTGGCCTAACACACAATATTGGGTTATCTGCCTGCGGTGTAACAGTGTTCTCCACCCTGTAAAAGAATTTCCTTGATGAAACTGGAGGCTGCTCACTCAAATGCTTCAAATTGTTCTCGAATTTTGTTGATGGCAAGTCAGTGTCAGTCCAATTATCCTTCATGTGCCTGGAACTCCACAAAGGTCCTCCTGCATTCGGCTGAGGTGACTGCCTCGGCTTCCATATACAAATCACTCTCTTTGGCAACAATTCTGCAATCGTTTTACCAAAAACATGATCATCCTGGTGGACTAGAACGTCTCCAAGTTGCTCCACCAAGTACTTGTCAAAATCTGGAGGATCCTTTTGTCCGAATTCTGTCCGGATCTCCAGGATTATAATCTCTGATTCGGTCTCTGATAAAAACTTCTTGATGTCCTTGATCACGACATCAACACTGTAAGTTGCCAGGATCCCATGACAGACCCGACGATTCTCCTGAATCCGAATATCCAGAACACGGGTGCCCCGCACAAGCTGATGATAGATTGACAGGGACTGGCATTGAGCAAAAGGTCGAGATATGCATGGAGTTCCAATCTTATTGGTGGCAGAATCATGAGTTCCAGGCCACACAATCTTGTTTATATGAACTTTCTCAGGATTCAGACCCGCCATCCAATTCTTTCTATCTGGAGGGTGATAATCACACCCTGGAAAGTCAACACCACAACTTTCACAAAGATCACATAAAACTTTCTTCTCTGTGCGGATAGCTTTCCGCCGCTCCATCTGTTTAGAAACAAAAGAACCCATTAGAAGGAAAATCCTGGAATCCTTCTTCCTATTATTATTTCTTTCTTCTTTTTCTTCCTGGAAACAGAACAAGAACAAGTGGTGAAGAGCAAAGATTTGATATAAAGGATTTAATAACACATTGCATTATAATGTTTGATTAGTTGGTTTTTTATTTTTTATTTTTTATTTTATTTTGGAGGTTGCAATCAACACATTGAACTGGCGATTTGGTAAATGGAGAAAGATGTGACATAATGCTCGTCTTTAGCTGGGTGGGGCGTCTTCTTTGCATTATTGGTGGAGAGTTTTTAATTTATTGGTCCATTTGTATGGCTGTCTATATCAGCATGCTAAATATCTTTAAAAATATGGTAATTAAATCTGATTAGGATAACTGCTCATATTCATCTCTTTAAAATTTATATATCTATTTATGAGGTAAGTTGTAACAGATGTGATCAGATTTTAATTTGATATAAATCAATCTTAAATGGTTGGATTGAAATGAAACTGAAAGCTTATCAAATGCTATTCCACCAACATAAATGAAATTTTATCTTGCCACTTGGCCGGCCATTGTTTCCTAATCAAGCTTCCTGGTAGCCTTTCCCATTTTCGGAGTAGGTACAACCAACTCATTGAATAAATAAACACATTTATTGAATAAATAAACACACCTAATCATGACCATAATTGAAGAAAATCCCCCACAATTATGGTTTTTAAAAATGGTAGATCAAAATGATCTTTTTTTTTTTTTTTTTTTTAATCATCAAGGGTTTTTAGGTTAGTTTACATGCAATTAAACTAATCTTTCGATGTCCTAAACCTCTTTTTACTTGAACTCAAGAGCTCATAGAATCTCCTTTTACTCTTTTACTAGACTATCCTATGGTGGTTAACTATGATTTTTATTTTATTTTCAAGCTTCCAGATTTAAACTAAACCCTTTTCCAATGATAAATTTTACCAATGATGCCCAATTCGAGATGGTAGATAAATTTTCTAACTAGTGAAGACACAAAATTTCATCAGTAAAACCATCTCAATCCTGCCTGAAGATTAAAAACTCAGATATTTAGAAAGAGTGATGCTATGGGTACTAATGGATGAGTACTAATATGTGTACTAATTAAAACATAGTACCCGTACTATGCACGTAGTACGGGTACTATGCTTTAATTAGTACACATATTAGTACTCATCCATTAGTACCCAAAGTATTATTCATTTAGAAATTAATACAAGTATTGTTAAACATGCTTTTTGATTATAAAGTAAAAACAATTAAAAATCAGCTACACCTTTATGGATGAAAAGAGGCCCCAACTTAAAAAGGGCATGGATGAAAAGAGTTTCCAACCTGGAAAAGTTATTGATCCACAAAATTCCAAGGAGTTGACTCTGGTCACCTAATGGTGATTATGAATCTTTCCAATCAGATAAACAGAAAAGTAATTAAGAGGCTTGTATTATTATGGCTCATGGGGTCTACCATGTGCATTAACAATTAGTAGTTGAGAGGTTTTGAGTAAAAACAGAGCAAAATCAAAGAGAAATCAGAGAAAGAAGGCAAGAAAATTCTGGAAAGTGCTGGTATTTCATTAAGATAAGCAGGTGTACAATGATGAACTCTTTATATAGAGTTCTAAGAAACAGAATTGTAACAGAATTGATAACTAACTGTTAAGAGTAACAGTGAGTATAACAGCAGCTAAAACGGCCATAACAACTTCCTAACTACCATTCTTAAGCCAAGCTTAGAACAATTTAACTTTTCTAACTTTACTAACATCCCCTCTTAAACCAAGCTCGGATATTCTTGTCAACTTTCCTAACTTTACTAACAACCCCTCTTAAACCAAACCGTCCACTTATTCTGAATTTGTTAACGCATCAGTCTCCTTCTAGCCAGAACACAACATGAAAGTCAGAACAATTTAACTTTTCATAACCAATGATTGACTTTAACAGGAGCTAAAATCTTACATTATGTGATATGCGACAAATGCAAAACAAGCAATAAATATAATTTGAGAAGTAAACAAGAAATGCAACATTCATTTGACAGTGACTCCCCAACAGACGAAAGAGTTAAACTCTTGCTTCCTAAAGAGATTACAGTTTGATTATGAAGAACAAATTGACATATATACAGGGACATATCTTGAGATAGCTTTGCCACTCCCTTGTAATTCACAACAACATTTAGCTACTTCTTGGTTAAGCACAAAGCTAACTACTGAATTTTTATCAGTACTGTAAAACCTGATAATGACATAAAAGACCTGGCAGAGCAGCAGGTCAGGCAAAAATGAAACCATACCAGTAGGAAAATTCTAGATTTCTGATCAAATTAGGAAATGTGAAACTGAAAATGAAACTCTAAAATAATCATTTATCTTAAACTACTAAGAAGTATATACTTTGCTGTTCATCCTTCACCTCTTTATTTGTTTGTAGCTCTGTTCAACAACCAGATGTGCTGAAAATCTTTTGTCAGATAAATCAGCTAAAGATCCACCAAATCCAACATAAATAAACTGGCCACTAGATGATAGAATGACCATTTACCTAGGCAAATCCTAGAAAGTTTTGGACTACAAGACAGAATAAAATTAAACATGTAATCATTAATTTAACAGATTTTCTATAAAGCCATTACTGATAAAAACAAATATTTGTACAGTAGTGGACCAAAGCTGCATATAATGGAATTTATATTCGACAATATACTAGGGGTTATGTTTTACAGAAAGTGGCACTTGTAAATGGTACTTCAAATGATTTGATATATAAAACTAGTAAAGGAGTATTTTAAGTTATTTGGCAAAATAAGCAGCACCTTAAATTGAGAAATGGATATTATGTCAATTATGGCTACTTGTAGTACATAATTTATTCCTTAATATGATTTGCTAATATTATACACTATGTGCCTATACGTTAATGAAAATATCTTAGGCCTTCAGCCAAGGCCACACAACCTGAAAACCATGTTAATAATTTCTAATCAAGCTCAATCTTATATATATCGACTTCAGCAAAGTTCACAACCATAGTCGGTTTGCACAGGGGTTGAGTCAAGCTCAGCCCATCAAATCAAGATTTTTAACCGAAATCACAGATAAAGTGTAAATATTATTAATCCAGGTGATGCAGTAGCACTTCTCCATCTACAAACAACACCATGATGGACAAAACTCAGGTGCTCAAAATATGAGAAAGATTGAAACTGGGAAAACTCTTTACTAACTTTATTGAATAATCAGTTAGAAAAATGCCACAAGATCAAATATATTCTCTTCTATGAGGTCAACTATCTAAACTTTTGGAGTAATCTCTCAATCACATCATTGTGGAGATTAGTCGTATAGAATCTGAAAAAAAAAACAAATAACCTTTGCTCCTACAATACCTGCTCATTGGACAAAGTAACAAAAATGTTACAAGTAATGGATGATTGAGCGGAAATTAGTTCCTGTAGCTCTGCCTCCTTGAACCAAGAAAAGAATAAAACGACAATCATCTACCTTTCTGTATCAAGTGATAGAGCATCATCTTCAAGATGGCCAGCTAACTGTTCCAAAATTGAGTATATTACATCTTTCAAGGGATGCATCCTATCCGATGCGGTAAAAACATGTACCTTATTATCAATTTCTATCCAACTAATTGCTCGCTCTTTCTTCACCCGTCTCTCATCCATAAGGTGTCTTATCTTCTCTACTAAATCCCACCTCCCAAGAGCAGCATATATACTTGAAAGAAGTACATAGGCTGCAGAAGATTGAGGTTCTAACTCAATAAGTTTTTCAGCAGCTTTTCTCCCCCATTCTATATTTCCGTGGATTCTACATGCACCTAGCATGGCATTCCAAACACGACCATCAGGTTTACAAGGCATATTCTCAAGCTGATTCATCAACAGGTCAAAACACCCTGCTCGACCCAAGAGATCGATTAAGCACGCATAATGTTCTTGATCAGGAACAATGCTGTGATCATGGGTCATGGACTCAAAATAACTAAGTCCTTCGTGTACTAAACCTGAATGGCTACATGCATTGAGAATCACAACCAATGTGGTCTTGTTTGGCTTCACACTTGATCTAACCATGTCATCAAACAACTGTATTGCTTCTACACCACACCCATGCTGTGCTAAAGCAGAAATCATTGTGTTCCACAAAACAGGATCTTTCTTATAGTCCATAAAATTGAAAACCTGCCTGCCAACTTCAAGACACCCACATTTTGAATACATGTCAATCAGAGAACTCACAACTATTGTATTGGGTCTAAAATTTGTTCGTATCAAAAAACCATGTATTTGCTTCCCATGCTTAAGTGAAGCTATACTAGAACAAGCACAAAGACAACTACTAAATGTGAATTGATCAGGTCTAATGCGAAGAACCATCATCTTTGCAAATAATTCAAGTGCATCATGCCCTGAACCATTTCTGGCATATCCAGCAATCAAAGCTGTCCATGAAACTGGATTCTTCTCAGGCATCTCATTAAAAAAATTTCTAGCTGACTCCATATCCCCCCATTTCGCATAACCCGAAACCAACGTTGTCCAAGCAAGAACATCCCTAACTTGCATTTCTTCAAACAACCTCCTGGCATTATTCATCTCTCCACACTTCGCATATGAATCTAAAACAGAACTCGAGATCACCAAATTTGACAAAAACCCAGTAACCAAAACCTGCCCATGAACCTGTTTAGTAAGTTTCAACTCCTTCGTTTTTACACACACGGTCAAAACACCAGCGAAACTAAACTCATTGTATCCAATACATAACCTCCTCAACTCTTTAAAAAGCCTTACGCTCTTACCAGCATGCCCACTCCTTGCATAACCTATAATCATCGTATTCCACGAAACCACATCTCTCTCAACCATTTTATCAAACAACTTCTTGGCGGGCCTCATTTGGCCCAATTTAACATACCCAGAAAGCATACCATTATAACTATACAAATTTCTAAAAGACATTTTACTAAACACCTTACATGCGTCTACATCGCTACCGCAATTGAAGTACATGTTTATCAAATGGTTTGATAAAAACGTATTGGGCACTTTGCGCCCAGTTAACTTCAAATGTAAGTGGACCCATTTTCCCAATCTCAAAGACTTTGTTTTGGAACAT